CCACTTGGATATCACTTTCAAATTCCTCTCCTGACTGGTTTAACATCCCTATTATATTAATATAACATAGTTCACTGTTAATTAATTAAATCCTTAGAGTCTCAATTTATTATACTAAGAAAGAACTATATATTACTTTAAATAATAATTATTTCCTTATTTTTCAAAATTTAATTCAATATTCCTCTTTGTGAAAAGAAATAAAAGGCTTTTTCAGGTGAAATATACCAGTTCGCTGCTAAATCATATACTATTTTTCAATTTATTAGCCAATGTTTTAAAATTTTCAATTTCCTTTATAATTCTTTTAATTTTTAAAACAGACTCCTTACGCAATAACCTCATTAAGTTTTATACCTAAAAAAAAATAAAACGTTCACTTAGCCGATATTAGGAGCAACAAGTTTTGCAATGAGAGATATTAGGAGCAACAAGCTTTGAAATGAGAGCATGCACGTACGAACAAACAATCTAAAGCTCTAGACAATCTTAGAGATAATCGACCTGAATAGGTCGGTTTCGAACAGAATGGTGTATTTAAGAACGTTGAATGAATGTCTTTTTATGGACAAATATCGGTGGATTGTTTTAAAAGGTTGTTAGACACGGTTATGTATGTAGAGCCTAGAGTTACATGATAGATCGAAATTTACATTAATTGGGCATGTCGATCACATTCCATGCTCCTAGGTTGGCCTGCGAGAAGCCACTTTATAGCTCGGGTACTTCTTGATTGGAATTTAAGTAGCTCGATCTAATTTCACTAATCCACCTAATATGTCTGAGTTTGTTGTTGACTAAAATATAAAAACGATTTTTTGAATTTAATTATGTTTCTTAAAAGTAGACAACTATTTAAAAAAAAAATACTGAGAATAAATACTTGTTAAAAAAAGATATAACAGTTTATACTTTTACAAATATCAGAAATTTTGAATTCCCTTATATTATAGTTTGTCATCCACGTTACATATTAATTCCTTCGAATATTTGAAAATGAAAATAACTTCTATGGTAGGGCACAAAATAAAAATGAAAATTTCGAAAATTTTGCTTTAAAACCTTCTATATTCTTGAGTCGCCTCTAGCTATTTGTTTGTTTAACAAATGCTACTCTAGAATAAATAATATTTTTAAATATAAGGTTAAAATTTTCAACCTTTAATTTTAACTTTATTGATCAACAAGTATTTGGTGGAATAGTTTTTTTATTAACAACCACAGCAAATTGACTTAGAGAAACATTATCTTCTTAGATTAAAAATAATAAGTAACACCAACTCGTATTTTTATATTAGAATGACAAAGTGACCCTAAAGTGGTATATTTTATATTATAGTTTCAACTTGCGAGTTAGCAAACAAGAATAAACAGGCCCCTTGTACGAGGAAGATTGTCTAGAATCTTTAAAGTTTTGAGTACGAAAATTTTCTCTTTATTTTTTTTTAAATATCTATTTAAAAGTGGTTTGTTTGATATGGATAATACATAAATAAATAATGAACGCAGTTTTTGATCCATATCATAATTCCAGGGCCCGTGTTTTACGTGCTTTGTGTTTTGTGCTCATTGCCAAGACGGCGAAAATAATAACAATAATAATAATAATAATAATAATAAACAAATCATGTTGCAGGTTTTTTTAGGTCATTCTAATTATTAAAAATAATAACAATAATTTGACATTTATTAAAAATTATTTAGGTCATTTCATAAAATAAGATGGCTAAGATCTGTTTTAAAAAAATTATTATTTCATTAGTATATATATCAAACAAGTGAAGAAAGTTATTTTCTTTTCCTGGTAATTATTTATCAACAAAATTTAATTTATTCCCCGTAGCATGTTGAAGTGATATCCTCACACATTCAAGTACTTAGAGAAAAAATAATTTCTTGATGTATCAACTTTCTATAAAAGGGTATTAAAAAATATATATACACAAAATTTTAACATATTTTTGTATGGAATTGCCTAATTGAGATCTTTTTAGTAGGCCGAAAGTAAATTTGAGAATTTTAAGAGATTAATGACTAAACCAACAAAATTCATAAAAAAATTAGAGACCATCCAATATATTTAGCCTTGTGACATCAAGTAACCACATACTAAATTATTATGCACTTAAATATCTTCAAGCAAATTATTCCAGATTGATGTCACAAGGTTATTTGATCCGGTAACTGTTCATAAATTTTCTTCCCTAGTATAAAAAATTTGGTAGTCATTTATAGTTAATTGTTGATCGACAAAATGTGGCGATAAGTTGCACGTAGATTAATTATATAAAATAAAGGTGGGGAAAAAATAGCTTAAAATGTATTTTATCTTAGAACAATATTTGATATATATTAAACTATTTTATGGAGAAGAAAATGACATAATCTCTGGTACCTGAGGGGAAAAGAGACCTTCCCAATATCTTTGGAGGCTATTTTCGTAATACAGAAATTTGGAATTATTTTTGAAAGTTGATATACACACAAGATTAAAAAACAAAAACTTTTACCTATTTTACACTCATTTATGAATCCGACTGGGCCTGGGCCTGAACCCGGTCGTCTTTCTATTTAATGGATTGCAGCTTGATCAAACAAGTTAGCTTATGGGCTTGAGCTTGCAATTCAACTTATTCATCTATCGTTAATGGGCTTGGGCCTGTAATATTTAAGATATGCTTTGCTTTGATTGAACATTTTCTTTTATCATCTGTCAAAGTTAAGTAAATGAGTTCTGGCGAGAAGATGGCGTGGGCATTTGCCCTGTTTCTTAAAAATTAAAACCAGAGAATGAACTTTCATTTTCATCAGGAAGCAAGGCACTGATTCAACGAAGCAAGCATCTGCCCATCTGCCAGAATGGCGACGAGCTATCGTTGTTTATACTCAGAATTTGGATCACAAACGTGGAGGCATAATCGAGCAGTCGAATGGGCAGATTTAGGGTTTGCTCGCTTTTGTTGTGGAGGGCAGTTTTCTGTTTGGAATGAGGGCTCCAAACAGCTCGAGTTTTTAGCATTAAATGGGGAAACCGAATCCTTTTTGTTTCTCAAGGCATAAACTGTGGAGAATGAAGATGTAGACAAATAGAGGTCAGAAGTCACATTCCCATTTCTCTTTACATCTAATACGAACTGTTAAAAAACCCACTTCACCTAACTCCCAATTTCCATTAGTTTCTGTCTGTCTCTCATATTTCTTCTAAGCAAATTCTTCTGGTAATCAAGGAGACCAAGAACGAAAGCAAGACATTGGCTGTTATTGGGAATAGGAAAATACGCTTCCATTTCAATTCAAGCATAATGGGGCACTAGCATTGCTCCAATCTGCAAGACAAAGCAAAATATGAAAACCCTTTTGATTATTATTCAAATTGGGATTGCTTGACAGAAGCTAATTGCAGCAAATTGTTCATTTGTTTAATGAGAAGACACTTCAATTGTTCGTTTGGCTGGATATCTTGGCTTTCCTTATAATTTACTCGTAACTCTGATTACAGTTCCTATAAATGAGGAGGGCATGTGCTTGCTGCTTCACAAGCCGATCATCCGACAGCAATCATCAGAATCCCAACAGTGACAAGCCTTCGCAGGTTCCACCCCTGTCTTTCATCTTCAAGAAATTATATTTTTCTTTAACTAATTACTACGTCTTGTACTGATTCCTTATTATCTGATAAATTTGGTTATGCATTTGATTCGGCTAGAGCTCTGTCGTGACCATGGAGACCACCCAGAAGAACAATGACAATGATGTTTCAGGGGTACTGATTTGTTTCATAATTTTTACGATTGTCGTTTATGATAAAAGGGGTTCCTGAAATCTGAACTCTGAGTTCAATTATAGTGTATTTAGTTAGATGGTTTCCTGGATCCTGTATAACTCTCATACTTTTATAACAGGCTGTGGAAGAAAACACGACCAAAATAAGTCCTCCACTAGCTGCTAATATCTTACTGAACCATGACTTCTCAATGGGACTGCAATATTGGCACCCCAATGGCTGTGATGGCCGTGTAGCTTGGGCCGAGTCAAATTACCGGGAAGAGGCATCCATCAATTCATATTCTAAGTATGCTGTTGTTACTAATCGAAACGAATGCTGGCAGGGATTGGAGCAGGAAATCACCAATAAAATTTCCCCAGGCATTACTTATTTAGTTTCAGCAAGTGTTGGAGTATCAGGACCTCTTCAAAGATCTGCTGATGTGCTAGCAACCTTAAAGCTAGAATATAATGATTCTGCTACAAGCTTTTTGTTCATCGGGAGGTAATTAACTTTGTTGTCCCATTCCATTCCCATTATTTTTCTTTGAGAAGAAAAATACTGGATTTGGAAAACTAATAGATAAAAGTGCATGCAGAACTACTGTGTTGAAAGAGAAGTGGGAGAAATTGGAAGGTACATTCTCCTTGTCGACCATGCCAGACCGAGTTGTATTCTATCTGGAAGGGCCTTCTCCGGGCATTGATTTACTCATACAGTCAGTGGAGATTACCTGTGCTGTTCCAAATGAATTTGAGGTATTTATTCTTCTTTTTTCTAAGCTTGTCTTTCTCTGAATTAGTAAGGGAAAATTACATTGACTATTTAGAAAGCCCCTTGTTTGCATACCTTTTCTTAAACGTGTATGCTTCTTACATGGATTGTTATCATTAAAAAAATTACCTGGTTTTCTTTTAGCTAAAATTTGAGTCTCTGGTTGATTTTTAACTCTCTCTTTATTACCAGTTATCTGAGAAGGTTGGAATTGGAAGTGCCAATGCTGACGATGAGAATATTATTCTAAACCCGAGATTTGAGGATGACATCAAAAATTGGTCTGGAAGAGGATGCAAGATTGCCCTGCACGATTCAATGGGAAATGGAAAAGTTCTCCCACAGTCTGGGAAGTTTTTTGCTTCTGCAACCGAGCGCACGCAGAGCTGGAATGGGATTCAGCAAGAGATCACAGGAAGAGTGCAGCGAAAGCTTGCTTATGATGTTGTTGCTGTTGTTCGGGTATATGGCAACAATATCACCACTACTGATGTACGGGCTACTTTATGGGTGCAAACACCAAATCTCCGCGAACAATATATCGGCATTGCCAAGTTAGTATCTCCTTTTATTTTCGTTCCACCTTGTTACAATGAAACTTATATGATTTATGAAGAACTGAGAAGCGATTGGTTTGGTAAAGTGTGCAGGCAACAGATAAGGATTGGGTAAAATTACAGGGGAAGTTTCTTCTAAACGCTTCCCCATCAAAGGTTGTCATATATCTGGAAGGTCCACCTTCTGGAGTCGATATTCTCATCGACAGTCTTGTTGTCAAGCATGCACAAAAGATTCCTCCTTCACCTCCACCAGTTATTGAGGTTGTTTGAACGAGTGATTACAAATCAATTTAGGTGTTTTCAGACTTGTACTATTGAATGAATTCTCTGATTGACTTATTGTTCTTGGTTTATGTCGTGTAGAATCCAGCCTATGGAGTCAACATAATTGAGAACAGCAGTCTAAGTAATGGCACCAATGGATGGTTTCCCCTTGGAAATTGTACGTTAAATGTTGGAACAGGGTCGCCGCATATTGTTCCTCCTATGGCCAGAGATTCCCTTGGCCCTTCTGAACCGCTCAGCGGCCGCTACATCCTTGTGACGAATCGCACACAGACATGGATGGGTCCTGCTCAGATGATCACTGATAAGGTGAAACTCTTTCTAACGTACCAAGTGTCTACTTGGGTAAAGATTGGCTCTGGGGCAACTGGTGCACAAAATGTTAATGTTGCACTCGGAGTTGATAACCAATGGGTCAATGGTGGGCAAGTCGAGATCAGTGATGATCGATGGCATGAAATTGGGGGTTCCTTTAGGATTGAAAAACAAGCATCGAAAATTATGGTTTATATACAAGGTCCTGCTCCAAGCGTCGACTTAATGGTTGCTGGACTTCAAATTTTCCCTGTTGATCGCCATGCAAGGTTAAGATATTTGAAGACACAGACAGATAAGGTAAGTTTTAGGTGTGATGACAATATACATAGTGAATCATATAGAGGAATGCAATTACAAATTCTTAGTTCCCTGAGAATGGAGTTTGGCGTTTGTAACATTCTTGACATGAATTATTATATTCTCCGTGAAATAAACTATGTGGTGAATGGTTGTATTATATTGATGTGTAACAATAGTTTTTGAGATTCCTTGATTCTTCATGTTTCATTATGTGGTGAATGGTTGTATTATATTTATAGGTAACAATCAATCGATTGCTGATTGTGTTTTCTTATTTTAATTGGAGAATTGAAGATCCGCAGGCGCGATATCACCCTCAAATTTTCAGGATCCAGCTCTAGTGGCACGTTTATAAAAGTCAGACAAATGCAGAACAGTTTTCCTTTTGGGACTTGCATCAGTAGAACAAACATTGATAATGAAGATTTTGTCAACTTCTTGGTGAAGAATTTCAACTGGGCTGTGTTTGGAAACGAGCTCAAGTGGTACTGGACAGAGCCACAGCAAGGAAACTTCAACTATAAGGATGCTGATGAGTTGTTGGATTTGTGCAAGAGCCACAACATAGAGACTCGTGGTCACTGCATCTTCTGGGACGTGCAGGGCACAGTACAACAATGGATTCAATCCTTGAACAAGAACGATATGATGGTTGCCGTTCAAAATCGCCTCACGGACCTGTTGACACGCTACAAGGGAAAGTTCAAGCACTACGATGTCAACAATGAGATGTTGCATGGATCATTCTATCAAGATCATCTGGGGAAAGATATTCGAGCTAACATGTTCAAGACCGCTAACAAACTCGATCCATCAGCTCTCCTATTCGTGAATGACTATCACGTTGAGGATGGATGCGACGCCAAATCTTGTCCAGAAAAGTACATAGAGCAAATTCTTGAACTGCAAGAGCAGGGAGCTCCAGTGGGAGGAGTTGGGATCCAAGGGCATATTGACAGTCCAGTGGGGCCAGTTGTTAGTTCTGCTTTAGACAAAATGGGCATTCTAGGCCTTCCAATCTGGTTCACAGAACTCGACGTGTCGTCCATTAACGAACACATCAGAGCGGATGACTTGGAAGTTATGCTTCGAGAAGCTTTCGCCCATCCTGCAGTAGAAGGTATAATGTTATGGGGATTCTGGGAGCTCTTTATGAGCAGGGACAATTCTCATTTAGTGAATGCAGAAGGTGAGATCAACGAAGCTGGCAAACGATACATCGCCCTGAAACACGAATGGCTTTCGCACGCGAGCGGGCAGATCGATGAGAAAAATGAATTCAAATTCAGAGGCTTTCAGGGAACATATAATGTGCAGATTGTGAATGCCTCAAAAAAGATGTCAAAAACATTTGTGGTGGAAAAGGGAGATGCAGCAGTGGTGATATCTATAGATCTGTGAAACACATTTCCAAAGATGTGGGGTTACACAAGAAAAAATAAAGTTCCTCTCCCTGTATGTGATTTCTAATATGTAATTTCCATTCAGAATAATAAATACACGTGTGCTGTTCTCGTTGGTTATCTTACATAGGAAGAAAAGCATCCTTACAAAAATGTGTTAGATCGTTTTCAATTCTGGGCCCAATTAAGGAAAAGGAATGGGCCGGATGGAGGTGAAGGCCCAGGAGAAAATGTATGCATGAAAGAGATAAGCTGTAGGGTCCAGATGAATAAATGTTGATGATTGACCAAAAGGGGCAGCGACCCACAATGATTCAGAGGGTAAAATTGTAATAATGGGTTGAAAAAATGGTTGATAAAATAAGAATAATACAAAAAAGGGGAGGGGGTCCCACAGGCCATCAAATCAATCTGATAGGTTCCCACCATCTACTACTAGAAACTTTCTCGCTGTGTGTAAAGTAAGAAGTTGATGGGACCCACTGATAGTCCCATCCCTGTCCCTAAATACCTGGTTCGGGTGGACCCACGCACCACATGGGTGCATAGTTGGTTGCCGGATTCACAAGTGTGCCATCGACTTTCTATTTCTTAAGGATGAATAAATTACCGTTCAACTGGCTTAAGTTAAATTGACTAAATTCATAGATGAGGAGAGCGATGGTTCGAAGTCTCCATTCATATTTTTATATAACATAATATAATTGTCTATTTATTTAAATTTTTAATTATAAACCTAATTTAGAATATAAAATAATATATTTTAATATTTTCTTACCATATTAAAAATACAAACCAATAATATATATAATTATCTTGAGAAATAAACTTTCAATTAATTGTAAATTTTCTAGTAAACTCATAATTAAAATTCCATGAATTTCTGTCGATTTTAATGCCTTCGCAGTTAAAATATCTAAAATTTCCTTAAAAGTCACCGATTAATATAAAGCCTACCCTACGTCAGGACATTCCATATTCTTTTTACTTTTTTGTATTTAGTTTCTCAACTTTTCATCCTAATTAATATGTCAAAGTAGTTTAAAGAAGAAAGAAGAAGAATGGGAAAATAAAAATTTAGATAATATAATGAATATTAAAATTTTGAAAGTTGGGTGAGAGGAGAAGACGAGAAGGATACGGGAAAAGAAACGGATTGATGGCCGAAGAGAAGGGTTTTGTGAGTTTACGTTGATATGATGGGGGATGGGTGTGTGGGACCCACGAGCGTATCGAAAAGTTCAAAGATATTGCAGAAACAAATTTTTAATTTTCTTTTTATTTTGTTTCAGATTTCAGAGTGGAACTGAAAGTGGGAGTGGCAGAGAGAGAGAGAGAGGAACAGAAACAGCCCCCGCGCTGTTTTCGCGCGCCTTTCTCCTCCTTCTTTTACTTCTTAACACTGACACTGCCACCTCTCTTTTCTTTTCTTCTATATTACAGAGAAAAAGAGGCACAAAATCATCTAATAGACCCAACAATAAAAATGTATAGCATCAACATATGAAACAAAATAAAAACCACATAAACTAGAAAATAAAATAATGAACTAACCTCTTCAATTGAATAAAAAAGTAATAACGATCAAACTAAACTAAATCAGATAGAAGGTAGCTATACAAATCAAATTTAAATCGAGGGGTAAGCAATTTTGAATATATAAAAGTTAAATAAAAAGTTAGAGCGCCACCTTAAACATAAACCAGTAAATAATTGAAATAATATACCGAAATAAATCAGGGTTGGATTTTTTTTCTCTTTTTAATGCATAATTAAATATTTAAAATAAAACTATTAAAAATTTAGAAATAATATGAAATTTAAATTTGACACTAAAACGTAGACAATGAATTCTTTACATTATATCAAATAAGTTTCTTCATGCTAATAGACTTTAAATTAATGGCAACATTTGGAACTATAATCTTAAATTATGCTACTATTTTGTGTTTTGCTGTTTAATCACATTAATCTAATATTTTTATACTCTTGATTTGTGGGTTGTTTTTAATATGTCTAATGATGATTTTCTGGGTCCCGTCTAATTCCTTCTGCAAAATGTTTTACCATTATTTTGCTTGCCTATTTTGACTTTTCGAGATTTTAAATTTTATTTTTTTTAGAATTCCACTTCATATGATTACATACTTTCATTATTAATAAAGTTGAATAATTAAGGAATTAATGTTGAGCATACATCATAATTTATAGGGGTCAATGAACTTAAAGATGTTGTTGAATTCAACTAAAATCATTAAAGTTACGGTTGCAATAATATATATATATCATCCCTAAAATGCCCATCATTTTATTTTTAATAGTTTTTCCTTTCAATTTTGAATTGAAATTGGACACAGAGATAAAAAGGATAACAATGTAATTCCATCATATTAAATATAAAAATCAAACCATCAGTATGATGAAGTTTTTAACTAAAAAGTAACGAAGAGAGGTTCGAACCACCGCTACAAATATCTGAGAACTTTCAATTTATCATTTATATCTGTAGTTTTAATACTTTTCTAAAGTGTTTGAATGGTGACTTAAAAAAAGGAGCTATAAAGGCAAATTTGCCTTTTGAGACATCAATTTACAATACAAATTACCATGCTTTTCATGCCAATTACTAAAGTGGGTGGGCTATAGGAAAATGAATACCAAATAATTATGAAGGAAATAATAAAATAGGATAAATAATTACACCTTTTCAATTATTGATTCTCTAAAGTTTAGAGAAATTTACCTTTGTGGAATGTGTTATCGTTATATAATATATTGTAAAGGCTTAATAAAAGCTATGAGCAATTTGTGGCCTATTTTTGGTTTTAATTAAAGATTTAAAATTTTTTATGGTTTGGAAAATATTAAATTATTATTCATTTGAAGTCACTTTTTATGACTATTTATTCGGGAAGGGGCATGAAAATTTGAAAGTAGTATATACACACTGCATTTTTATTCTAACAAACAAAAAGCTGATTTCCAAATAACTCCAAAACAATACCTATGGTTTTTAGATTCTTTTTATTATATTCTTTTATATTGTGATTCATTGGTATTTTAATATATCTAAAGGACCGTGTCACTTCAACATATAAATAAATTAAATTTCAGCAATAAAAAAGGGTTTATTATTGGGTACAATATCAATTTTAACCCAAAAATTTACAAAATGTTTTAATTCTTGCTTTGAACTTCATCACACTAAATAAATGTTCTAATATTTATCTTAAATTTTTAGAAATTTTGTAATTTATACAATTTGTTAGGTTTTAGTTTGATTTTTTTAAATAAAAGTATTCACATGTGTTAAATCGATTTTAATTTGTTTCATAATCAAATTTAATTTTGTGTAAAAATTTATTTTTTATTAAACGAATAAGTTTTTAATTAATTTTTTCATCAGTTAAAATTAGTGGATGAAGTATTAAAAATTGAAAAGAGAATAAAAATTATAACACTTATCTAAATTCAAGATTCAATTATATAAAATTAAAAATTTAAAGTGAAAATTAATACAACTGGAAAAGAAAAGCTCTTTTCATTTGAAATGAACTTTTCTTATGATATCTAATTTTAGAATCGAGGATTCATGAGTTGTGTTTCAGCTATAAAATATTAGAAATGTAATATCAAAGGGAGATTCTTCTAAATACAAAAAAATATGATTTAGCACAAGAATTATAAGTTTGGATAATTATTTTTAATTCAAGATAATTTAGAGACAATGGATTCAAACTCAATAATAATAATCAAATATTGAGGCTGATGAGAAAAAGGATTATAAATTATTCACGGTCCTTGTAGTGTAATATTCCAAAAAACAAATATATGGATTTAAATATAATAAAGGACAATGTTGATCCTGAATGATCACCAATTTATTTCTCTTCTTTTGATGTAGTCAACATTTCAGTCAATTGAAGCTATCCATTTTGATTTCCATTATGATATAAATATATAATTATGTTTAAGAGGGTGAGAGCTAATCGAATCCGAATAAAATATTTTTTTGGATTTGCTTCTTATCCAAGTTGTGTTTTGATTTCAAGCAGGCCGATTGAAAATATATATAATCTGAATAATTGTCTAATATTTATTACTTTATATATGCAATTCAGACCCAAATTAACCATATTTCCTTCTTTGAAAAAAAATATATTGTTCTATTAAACGCCAATTTTCTCAAAGGCAAAGAAACAACAAATTAAACGCAAAATTTTGATTAAATAAATTATGTTACATTTAATTTCTTATTATATTTTTAATAATCATATTTGAAAATGAAAATCAAGTAAATTTTTAAATAAAATAAAAGAAAATGACATTACTAGGGTATCGACTTAATTACCAATAACGGATCTAATAACTCTCCAACTTTTAACTTGTTTTTTTACCCAAAAGAAAAAAAAGCAAAGAACCCTTCGCTCTTTAGGGGATTTCACCCACATTTTATTTGATTATCTAATAGTCAATAATTTAAAGAGACATTTCAATTTATAATATAAATCTAAATTGTCTTTTTCATTAATGCCACCATTTTTCATTCTTTTTAAATATAAAATAAAAAATGTATCACTTTTATCGGTGGGCTTTATATTTCATTTGAGTTTGTCTGATTCAAAAATATACTGTTGGAAGTCAAAGCGACCTTCAGCTGTAATTGATATATATCTCTAAATCAATAAGTTGTGAATCCGAATCCCCTCCCAAATATATTGTAATTAAATATACTGTGTACATTTTTTTTAAATTTATATCTTTAGAAATATATATCTATTTTATATTATTTTTATAGCAATTTAGAATTTAACGAACGGATTATTAAAAACATCGAGTATTGTGGAAAATATGTTATTCTTAATTAAGTTATATAAATGATTTGTTTTAAGAAGTTGACGAACTTGTAGATAATTACATAATAATCTTATAATAAGATATTCTACTACTACAAGATTTTTGTACCAAAATTTAAAACAATTGAAAAATATATTTTTAATTTTTTTTTTTGTAAAAGTAGATTTTTTTTCTATGTATTTATTTATATTTATAAAAATAGCTATTTCAATAGTACTTCTATAACAAAATCGACTGGAAATTTTAGCCATATTCAAACTTTACAAAA